TGTAAAGGGGAGGGGGACCTAGAGGCATTCTTTCCATTCCAAGAACTGGGCTGGTTGGAGCCAAGGTCGAGTTAACCTTGTTTAGAGGGTTTTTTCCCCCTAAAATCCCTAAAACAAAGGCAAAGCCTGGAAAGAAGCTGTACTAGCTCGAGTCTCCTCTCAGGGCCTATTTCACTCCCCCCATTTGACTTGTTCCTGAGTCAAATCATTGACTCAATTTTTCCTTTGGGATGGAATCCTCTTTTGTATGAATGGCATTAATGCATTAATTACACAAGGGCCAATTTATAGCATCAGGAAGGTAAGAATCAAGGTGGGCAGCAATAGCTGAAATCAGGGTCATCATCCATGGAGACCTACATTTAATGTCAGAAGCAAGAGAACTACACCAGCCAGGGCAGTTATTAGGGTTGTTGCCCATCGGGACCATGAGAAGAGAGGCTGATACCATGACTCAGTCCTTCAGACTCTTCTGAGGCCAAACTTTCCCTAATACAAACGCTACCTTGCTTCATGAGAAGTCTACTTCTGGGCGATTTCAGAGAACTACCTCTGCCAATGAGTCTACCTGGCGGTTCTGACTGAACCAGCATCTAGATTGCAGTAGGCATATAGATAAGAGAAAGAATATTCCACATCAGTACAACAATCCTGACTTTATGTATAGCACAGCTAACTTAATTTTATACCAGCTCTACATGTAAGCTCCAATTTCAAGACATACTCATACCATTTGCTACATACTTATACTTTCTGAGGTTTGTCTTCTTTCCTTTCAAACATTTAAAGACAATACTTACTTTTCAAATCCTTTCTTATCCAGAGGATACCAATTTTTTCCCCAATTCCTTTCCCAAGGCTTTCTTTACCACCCTCCTCTTCTTTCCAGTTTCTTGAGCATCTTTGTGGCTAGAGTTTCAAACTGCCCAATTTTCCTTTGGCTTGCGGAACCTTTATCTTAGAACAGCCTAAAGGCACCACTGTGATGCAGAAGCTTGCTAGATTTTAAGGCTAAGAGAGCTAACTCCATTGATAACACACTCAGGTTATTACCATACCAGAGCCAAACTAGGCTGTGACCATAGAGTGGATTTCCAGTCACTATGTACTGAAGTGTCTAAGGTAAACAAGCCAGTGATATCCTGGTCCCCAGTATCCACTGTGGGAATAGAGAGGATTT